TCTCGGCCACGATCGGTCGAGGCGACGCTTCGACCACGATCGGTCAAGGCGCACGCCTCGGCCACGATCGCCTCGGCCACGATCGGTCGAGGCGACGCCTCAACCACGATCGGCCAAGGCGACGCCTCGAAGCCTCGGCCACGAACGATCGACCGGGGTGCCTCGGCCACGATCGGTCGAGGCGATGCCTCGGCCGTGATCGGCCGGAGGCACGCACCTCGGCCAGCCTAAGCCGCAGCCCGTCTCGGCCAGCATAAAAAAAAATTCATGTGTGATTTGGAAAATAAAATCACATACTCGGGATCAACCGGGATTCTGCACGATATCAAGCAAATTCAGCCTTACTCCCAAGTCAACTCAAACACATCCGTAGACTCAGGAGTAGGGGGACTGGTGACAGGATAATGGTGCTGGCACCCGACTCGGATCATAAGCAGCACCTGACCCGACACCATATTTAACCCGACATCGTGTGGAATTCCAACAGGCAGAACTCCAACGGGCAGAACACCAACGGGTGGAAACATTATGGCCATTCATTGCATTGTAGGGAGAGAATTAAAGCTGAGCGCCTCATTCATGATTCTTCATGCTATTGCCGTTAGCCTCAACTCCCCAATTATGACTCTTCATGTTGTTACCGTTAGGACTTAGTATAAATAGAACTCCCCCCAACTAGCAAAGGGGGAGGACACACTGTACTCTCTATACTGAGACAAAGCAATACAACTATTGTTACTTCCTTATTCGTTGCTTTTATATCATATTTCCGGTAACATATTTACCGTCACCATAACTGTACACTCATAATCTCATAACTGTACATTCATAATGGCACAAACGAATAACGCCGTTAACGGCGAGACAAAATCAATTTTTTTTTTAAAACTGGAATGACGCGTTTTTCTTAAAAACGACGTAATTGTGGACACGGGTCCACAATGCATAATTTGATTAGGCTATGGAAGACTTATGTGGAGAAGAAGATATGTTTTTCGTTGATAAGGAAACAAGCAATAATTATGGGCGAAGCTGTGTCCTTCGCCATTGCCGGTCTGTATGCCATTCACCATGGGTGAAACTTTCTTCCTATTTTACAAGAGAAAATCATTATATATATTTTTTAATAGACGAGTTTGGTTCGCGTCATGAAAAGGTTGATTGTCATAGAATATCTATGTAATTTTGCATTTCCTCATTTTACGAAAATTATCAGAAATAGTTTGCTGACTTAGAATACTGATAGATTCAGTTAAGCACCTACTTAGTAATGATAGATCATGGAGCGAATATCAGAGAAAAATAAACAAACACACAGAACGAACACTCACAATGTTTACCCAGTTCGATACAGTGTGTATCTACGTCTGGGGGACGATCACATATGCGTCCAATCCACTAAGTCATAATCCAATGTACAAAGGTAGATATATAATAATCTTACCCAAGTGCCCCACACAAGGTACATACCCAGTCTACACAGGTTTAGTGGATTGTTGAAGATGGAGAGCCATGCATATAGAAGTCCAATGAAATCCCTTCACTTGGAGAGCCAGCTCTGATGCAGTCCACTTCAGTGACGCTCTATAATGTTGTTCCCACAACAGTGTGATCTTAGTGTCCTTTCGTTTAAGCAGCAGTAACTCTTCTCAAGTTCATCATCTTAATCACCATGAACAAGTTGTATTGAGAAGGTGTATAACAATCAAAGATCTAGACTCATCAAGCTGATATGGAGTGTTTATTCTTCTTATTTGGCGTAACCCTAGTTCCCTTAAAGAACTGGTACTTATAGATCCTTCTATAAACACTCTCCATAAAAGATCTTTGATTGTAGAAGGTAAGACTATAAAAGTGGAATGTAATCTCAGCAGATTAGGTCCATTACCTTCTTTGAAGATACGCTGATCGTCTTTCCATACTGAGCTGATAATACCGCGTAAGACTCTTAAGGAAACAGCTCCACTAAATCAGATCTTCAGTGTCAGTTCTTCTGTCGTTGCTTCTGCTTGATCAGTAATGTAGACCCAACCGGATAGACTCTAAACCTATCTTAGTATGCCATAATAATATTGCCAATTATAATATGGGATTTTTGAACATAAAAACACTAACAATCTAATTTATATGGTAGAAATGTGATTATGATTATAAATTTATAATTATACACATTAATTGATACCATGACTAATTATTAAGAATATTTCATTTTTAAATTCGTCTAAACTCATACTCTTAATTAGAAAATTTATAAACATTTATAAATATGTCTAAATACGTACATATACTTAGTAACAACATTAATCCATAATAATAGATTTAAAAATTAAATTCTTTTAATTTCTAAATGCAATTTTTTAAGATAATACGAAATATAATTAAGTAAATTAAATAAAATTAAAAAATTAAATAAATGTGCATTTATAAATATTTAGAAATCTGCTTAAGTACATACATATACTTATGCACCATATTAATCATACAAAATTAAAGAGATCGCAGTCAGTCATCTTCAAGCAACTGATCATCTAGGAGGACAGGTGCCTACTCAGGCGGAGATCTGCCGGCTCAGGTAGAGCGACCATGCCCAGTAGTCGGTGTGTCCCCGACTGAGATCATATATGAGACGCGGCTAGGCGACCAGCTTCGGAAGTCGGTGTGTCCCCGTCTGAAGGCCCTATGGGATTCAGATGGGTGACCAGGCTCCGGGGGCGTTGTGTCCCCGATCGGGTACCACTCAGGAACTTAATCGGGCAACCAGGCTCCGCGCCCGGGGTGTCCTCGCTCGAGTGCTGTGGCCCCTCAGAACGTCTCCTTGACAACCAGGGCGTTCCCGGCTGGGTACGCGTCCAGAGGCGATTACAGGCAGATTTTGCGGAGACTTCCTTATTTATTTTAAGTAGCTTCCTTTATTAGCTTAGACAGTTATGGTATGAAATAGGTCGGATTCCATGTCCGAATTGGCTCTACGTCAGCCCTACTTCCCACATCGGAATCTTGTACTCTAGTATAAATATCTCCCCGGGATCACCGTGTAAATGGATGGCAATTTTGGCACTCTAGCGACCGAAACTCTAGAATAATAACACCACGTTATTCTCTCTATCACTCTAATCTTTTATTCATCTAAACCCTTGTTTAAGTATTTTACGGTAGTGTTGGCCCGCCGCGGCATCCAAAAGCCGTAAAACTAACAATCGTAACACACTTGATGCATTGAAAAGATGCCGAGACTACAACAATGCTGCAATCAATTATTCGGCAAACCAAGAAAATGAAGAAATTTTAAAATAGTCACCGTTGATTCATTCATTTATCCTGTATGTAAAATACTTATTGTGCATTCATTAAATATATTAGAACTTATATAAATTTACAATTTATTTCATCCTCTATACTCAACCTGCTAGATTACAGGCAAAATCAACATCAACCTTCACAACAAAAATATTTGATATATAGGATGTAGTTGATTATTATTTTTTTTAAAAATAAATTTATGCATAATGTGGAAAACAATTTAACTCGACGGTTAATATCAATTTTTTTTAAAAAAATTTGAAAAAAACACATACACACACAATCAAGTACTACACTCATTCGTACAAATTCTAAAAATATAAACTTGAAAATGAACATGTGCAAAATGAACGTGAAAATTATTAATGAAACTATCTAGACAGATTGCAATATCAATACTCGAACTACCTACAGAGTTATTATTGTTACTGTTAAGTAAACAAGTTATGAAAATAGAACATCAGATACTACTCATTCACAATAGTCACTTAGAACTCTCGTGCTCTAGGCTTGAAACTTGAAACCTCTATATTGAGGGTGGATAGCCACCACCTCGATATTGATAGTAATGCATGTCTCCCACATCCTCACTGTTAACCACATTCCAGATCCGGAGGATCGTCAAGCCTTTTAGTGCTTCTTTCCAAGGTGTCATTCACCTCCGGTGGTCGTTCCGAAGCTTTGCTCTTGTTTTCCGGTGGACTTATAGAGACACAATTTTTTCCTGGTGCGTACTCTAAACAAGTTTTACATACAAAGTATTATATAATGATCTAAATATATTCATATAAAATTTAAATTTTTTACATCTTTTAATTTATGAATATAATTCCCTTAATTTTTACTCATTTTATTGGAATTATAATTATAATTATATGAAATACAATTGGGAATAATCAATTTAGTTATGTAAATTTTGTTTTTATAAATCTATCTAAATATGTACATTATGAAATATTATATTAATTATACAAAATTTTAATTTTAATTTTGTATGTTATGAACATACATACCTTGCCAAATATATGAAAAATCAAACTATATTATTATTGCATATTTTTAAATTTTTTATTTAAATTTATATTAATATATTAGGGTCACACTTATGTGAGACTGGTCTCATGGATCTTTATTCGTGAAATGGGTTGAATTAACATACAAATGTCATATTTATGTGCTCAAATGTAATACTAATTAGGAATAATTTTTTTATTATTTATAAAGAAAAATGTAATACTTTTTGCATTTTGATGTAAAAGTATTATATTTTCCATAAGTATTACATTTTTCATAATAAGTAAAGTTAGCAAGTGACCCTTACATAATGAAAAATATAATATTTTTGAAGAAAAAAATAATATTTTTAAATTGAAATTTAAAGTATTACGGAGTACATTTTTCCTTAAAAGTATTACATTTATTGTTATAAATAAATTTTGTTTTTTTTGTTTTTTTAATTCTTGATTAGTATTAAGAAGTATAACAATTTTATCTCGACCTGATTAGGGTGAGACGATATCACACAAATTTTTGACTTAATTACATTTGTTTGGAGTGTTAAGTGGTCTAATTGTATTTTTTTTTTTTTTTCATTCAGTAGCCTAATTACATTTTTAGGTAGATAATTTGAACCCTATTTCTATTTTTTTTTTTTAAAGAGAGAAATCAGAGAATTGTCTATTTCAGTTAATTCCTCGGGGTTCATTGTTCACAGTACAAAATACAGTTACTGGTAGTTACTTTCATCAGCGTAATAAAAGCCGGCCTGAAATCTCATTTATCGATCAAATTCTTTTTCTGTATGGAAAATGGAAAATTTCGAAATGGTTTACCATAAATCCTGACGCTATCGAGGCGGGGAACGGCGTGGAGATGTGGGTTTTGGTGATAGTGTTTGTTCTTGGGGCGCTGACGGTCGTCGGAGCGGAAGCCCTCGGAGCCGTCATTTTGATACGATGGTTGAATCGGAAGTTAAGTCGTGAAGTAGCAAGATCCAAGATCGTCAGAGAGCTATCAACTCCGGGAAATGTTGATCCCTCTTCCCACAGAAAGCAGGTTGGTCACTTTCCTTGCTCTTTTCTCTTCGATTCTTTAAACTTTATGGGACGTTTTCTTTGTGGAGTTTAGTGCACTTTGAAATTATTCCGACGTAATTTCGGTTTGGTGTTCTTGTTTGTACTCAAAGAGTTGAAATTAGACGTGCCGAAACCCTAAAAAATTGTTAAGGAGTGGAATAGGCGTTTGTTTCCGAAATTTGGGATTCTGATGAAATTAATATTGGGAGTGCTCATTAACTACTTCTTGTATATCTTGTTTAGAGGCTAAATAATCTTTTTATGCACATTAAGACTGACTGCTTCCATTTTGTCTCTAAGGGGTATTCATTTGGTGGCAGCTTCATAGGAAAAGGAAAAATAAGTAGAGAATAGAGTCTTCCTTGCTTTATCTGGTCAGTCTGGAAAGAAAGGAACAAAAGATTTTTTGAAGGTTCCCAAAGGAACATTGAGATTTGAGAAACTTATTACTTTTGGATACAAGGGGTGTCTCCTAGTAGTGCCTTCTCCTTGTGAAATAAATGTAGAAGAAGAGTATGAAGGGGAGAAAATGAACTAATATTTCCTTTCCTGTATGGAGTAATTGGCATGAGAAATCTAATGTATCTTATACGTACATATCTACCCTGATTCCATGTTTTCTTTACTGCCTGATTGATTTCCTAGATAGGTTTATGTGCTGCTCTTTATAGTCATGGGTGTTACCCAACCCTGGGTACCTTTTTTATACAATCCCTTCACGTATACAAATATTATAAAAGTATGGGGTAGTGTTGAATAGTACGTCATAGACGTGGGCAGTGGTTCTTGATATAAACATTTTAATTTTTGTTAATTTCTTGACTTTCATGTATTTTTCCTGTACTTCTCATTTTGGTGGTATCCTGTTCTCCAATGTGTATGTGGTTTCAATTTCTAATCACTAAGCGCCTAAGCATTGTTGCAAACATTGATAACTTGTTGAGAGGTCCCATCGTCAGTTGGACTTGTTGGGCTGTCTTCAATTTACTATACTGGTAGTTACTTTCACCTCCGTACTAAGTTTGTACCAAAGATTAATTGTTCAATCTCGCCCCTTCCCCTCTCTGTTATAATACTACCACTGGGATTAGGTGTGTGGCCACACCTAATTCCAGGCTCTTTAAAAGAAACCAAACAAGAGATTGGGGGCATTGCCCTAATCGAAGGAACCAAACAATGACTCAGGGGATGGTGTACTCAAAACTATTTTTTCTTGATGTAGAATGAAATCTAGATGGAGAGATTGCTTGTTACTGCCATTGAATTTGCATAGGCATTTCATATAATTAATCCATGAGTACTTAGAGTGTATTATATGCAATCATTAGCAAAAATAATTTGATTTATAACATATTTTTATTCAATAGCGTTATTCTCATGTTGATGGTTGCCTACAGTTTCATCTACTGTCTTTTAGGGCTTTGTATGGGTTCTAGATGCAGAAAAAATCCCAAGAGCTTCTCCTATGGACAAAGCTTTGAGACAGCAAAAGGGAAAAAAAGAGATCTTGGAGGTTACACCTATAAAGAAATATGCAAAATTGAGGGATCACTTTCTCATTTTAACAGAATCAGATGCTTCTCACACAGAAATTGAACTTAAGGGTTGTACAATAGCAGCTGTATCCGCATCAGACTTGTCCTCGAGAAAATGGTAAATCAGAATTTACTATACAAAGCATCACAGGAAAATTCACTCTGCTAATATCTATAGTACTGTTAAGTAGGTCCTTTTTACTTAAATTGTATGTGAATTGCTTTATCTCTAAACTAGACATCTTAAATCTGGAAAATGATAAGGTTCTACTTCTTTTAAGCTTTTAGTTGTTTGGGTTCCTGGAAGGCAACTTGGAAAACCCCATTTACAAGAATTATACTAGAAGATGGAAACTTAAGGGGCTGTAAAATAGTTCTTTGCTTTCTATTTTCCATTTCTAGTTTTCCAAAATTTTCAATTTTCCATTTTCTATTGGTAGAAACAATTGCTGGCATTTGAATTACCAATGTTGTCATTGAGTAGTGCTAGAAAAGAAGACAAAACTGCTAGGCGGTTGGAATACTGGCCAGGATATATATATATATATATATATATAAAGGTCACTAGGACAGCAAAGGACAAAGGTGGAAATGAGTCAAGAGAAGAGAATAGGGAGATTGAATAAAGAAAAAAATAAAAAAAAAAACGTTTTCCCAGAAATGGAAATGAAAGATGGGTTGGAAGGAGGAATAACCAAAAGCGATAGAAGTTTTTTTTTAATTTTTTTTTTTTTAAATTCTGATTTTGAAGAACTAAAAATTAGTAAACAAACATTGGAATAGGAATCATTACAATTCTAGGGAATGAAAGGATTGAACCAAATGCCTCATTAGAACGTACATTTCACATCCAATTTGTGTCAGCAGAGCATAGCTTTGACACAACTATAGGATCACTCTTATACTAGGACATTATATTAAAGGATTGCCTGGTATAGCAGAATTGGTTAAACAGCCTTGAAAGAATTAAGGAATAGATATCTATTTGACAAAAATGTATATGAGCTAATATATCATGTGCTACCAAGTTTGTGAAACCAAAAACTAGGCTTCCTAATTGTTTCTTTTATAGATCACCTCACATAATTCCCAACTGATACAAGCACTTTTTATGCAAGGTTTCAACTTTCAAATCAAATGATCAACTTTGGTATGCCAATGTGGTTAGAGGTTCCCACAAAATGTTGTTGGAGGGGTTAACATATATTCAAACCTAAATCATACGAATTCATATTATTAAATGAAAAGAGGGGGAATTTTGTTTCAAATGTTATGGGGTCGTTTGCCAACTTGGAAAAATGGAGGATTTTCCAGAAAATGGAGAAATTGAGAAGTGGAAAAAATAAAAATTGGAGTTGTTTACTAAATTTCTTCTTCCAAATGCTTACTCCTTCTCCAATCTCCAAATTTCTTAAGGAATTTGGAGAATACCAAAACCAACTTCTCCAAATGGAGAAATGGAAAATACACGGATGAACAGTGCTTGCTGACCTAGGCGTCCCAGGTTCGAGTCTTGCTGGCTTCGTTTTGCTTCTTCTTCTTCGCCCCTTCTTCAGACTTTTACGCTACTAAGTCCACTACTTCAGATTATTATTATTATTATTATTATTATTATTATTATTATTATAGTACTATTATTATTGTTATTATTATTATTATTAAATTCTTATTATTATTACTATTATTATTGTTATTATTATTAAATTCCTATTATTATTACTATTATTATTATTGTTATTATTATTATTATTACTATTATTATTGTTGCAATTATTATTATTATTATTATTATTATTATTATTATTATTATTATTATTATTATTATTGTTGTTGTTGTTGTTGTTGTTATTATTATTATTATCTTTGTGGTAGAAATGTACAAATGCTATATAGGATGATTGTATTTAATAAAATTAGAAAATTAGAGAAATGAAAAACTGGAGGAATGGAGAAATGGAGAAGAAAAACTGGAGAAATGGAAAACTGGAAATGGAAAAACAGAGAAATGAAGTAAACGACCCCTATCATTCTTTCTACCTTTTCTTCTTCTTGACAAACTTGTGATGTGGGAAATCTAATAAAAAAGCATTGTGGTTCAAAATCAGTATAGATGGGGAATATTGGCAAATTTCCATTGTACCCTTGAGCAATGAGGCCACTTTGATATTTTATTTCAAAAGTTGAAGGTGCACAATATATTGAACACCAAACAAGTTAAATGGACTATGTTATCTCAGAAGTCTGATCATTATTATAACGGATGTCTTAAGGAAGCAAATAGTACAAAGGTGTTTGTTATTTATGTTTTTTTTACACTTATGCATTGCACTGATCACGCAATTTTCTGAATTTTGTACTTGAAGGTTTGCCAACTGTTTTGCTTCCATTTCTCTTATCTGTGATGATACAGGGCAAAAAGGTACCCAATAAAAGTAGAAAGAAAATCATCAATAGTATACAAAGGAAGTAAAACAATGTACATATATCTTGAGACATCTTGGGAGAAGGAATCTTGGTGTAAAGCTCTATATCTTGCTTCCCATGAGGATGAAGAGAAACTAAAGTGGGTCAAAAAATTGAACGCAGAGTTCCACAGTTACCTGATCTCACTAAATGCAGTGTATCCTTCATTTATGAAACCATGTTCACATATAAGTACTGAGCCTATAGATAAGTCAAGTAAGCTTGATGGCTCTTCATCAAAGGTTCGAAATTTTCTGCGGAAACTTTCCAAGAAATCTTCCAAGAGTGGCATTGAAAATAAGGCAAACTTGTCAAGTCGTGAAGCTCCAACAGAAAAATCTATTGATTGTTCCACTGAGGAAATTATTGTCCCTTCATCACTGGCAACGTTGAATGCGTCTGCAAGCAGAAATCATGTCCCTGTAATTTCTGATGTAGATTCAGATGATAGAGCTTCTGATGAAGGAACTCTATGTTGGAATCTGTTAATATCAAGGTTCTTCTTTGATGCTAAACAAAATGAGGAGATGAGAACTTCCTTGCAAGCTCGGATTCAGGTATGTTAGGTAATTGCTATTCTTTATATAACTTTGCTAGAGGCTTTCTTTGTTATACATCTGGCTGTTGCTTCTCAATCAATGAATATTCTTTCATGTTTGTAGTATTAGGAATGAATGCTTACTGCTTATCAAACTCAGAAAAGCAGACATGAATGTTTCGCTCTCTGTCTCTCTACATACATAAATAAATACATTCATACATACATACATTATATATATATATATATATATATATATATATATATATATATATATATATATATATATATATATATATATATATATATATAAAGCTTAAAATTTTTTTACCTCACTAAATAAAAGCAGAGGTAATGTTCTGTACATCCTTCAGTCTTTTCATGGACCTAGCATGTTGTGGGAGCTTTGCACTCTGGACTGAGTGTATGACCTTTTTACACAATTGCACATATGTTCCTCGTTCTGAATTGTTATTTGTTTGTCAAACTCTACAATTCTACATTGTGGTATGTTGCAATTGAACATAGTTTTGAAGCTCTTCTCTTGGAGTTCAAGAACATCCCTCTTTTTATTTATTTATTTATTTATTTTTATTAATTTTTTTTTTTTTTTTTTTTTTTTTTGGGTTGGATCAATTGAAACTACTACCATAACACCTTAATGTACTCTTTTCCATAGAGAACACTATCCAATATGCGAACCCCCACATACCTAGGTGAGGTGATATGCACCACTGTTGATCTTGGTAATCTCCCACCATATCTTCATGCAATGAAAGTTCTTCCTTCCGACATGACTGAGATTTGGATGATGGAAATTGAAATTGAGTATTCTGGTGCTGCAATCTTTGTAATCGAAACAAGGCTTGAAGTTCAGGATCTTGAGTTACAGGAAGGAGGCCCAGGCCTAGAATCAAGTTCTTTGGATGAGGTAAAAGCTGATATGTTAGCGGGCATTGAACAGTTCAGAGAAAACTTGGAATACTCTGAAGAGACCTCTGACTCCTGTGATCATAGAGATGAAGGAGATGTCAAAGGGGGTAGGTAACATGACATTTTCTCTTTCTCACACACTGAAACAGCCACTTTTAGAAAAAGGCATGACACTTTATTTTTCATTGCTGAAATACTAATTAATTTGGCAGTAGTCTTTTTGTTACTTATCTGATGCATTTTTCTTCTGTTTAGATATCATTTCTCACTTAGTCAGTTAGTTGTAGTTGAAACTTGAAAGTGAACTGAGATGTTTCAATCATGTAAATTTTCAGATGCAATAAAACACTCCAGAAATGTGACTGGTGCAGTACCTCAACAATCTAGATGGAAGTCTATCATACATTCAATTGCCAAACAGGTCTCACAGGTTAGCAGGAACGGTTTTTTATTCATTCTGATATATGATATTCTCTTGTACAATATCCGGATAGATTAAAAATGTTATGAACATCCCTATATTTTATTGTTATTTTGATGATTCATTATTAGGCACTTTAGATAAATCCGAAATATCATTTATACTTTCAAGAATGCATGAGACAGACTTCAAGATGGTTTTTATTATCAGGCTGAGTTATTGTGAATGGTCCATCTGTCACACAGTCGAGTATATCTTGCATGAGAAAGCAAACAAACTCCCTATTGACCAATTGTAGCATTCTGTAGAAATATACTAAAAGCTGTAATCATTCAGAGTTAATTGGTCAAAGTGGGGGTTTTTTTTTTCTTCCACATTTTTGGTTTTTAATTTTTATTGGGTGGGAGTTCAACCCATTGAATCACTATTTCTTGGATAATGGGAATCATCAGCTTCAATGACTCTGAATACAGATTTGTGTCTAACTGTGTGCTTTTTGGGTTTGCAAAAGCTTGAGTCTTAGTTTGTGTATGTGTATGTTCATGTAATGTTTATAATAATAATCTTTACCATTCCATTTGCACGGTTGCTTTATTTTTCAGTTTCTAAACATGGCTCCTGGTAGTTCTGGTACACTAACTGCTTAATCGTTTAACGTTGAAGGTTCCACTTACCTTGGGGATAAGAGTTGCATCTCTTCGAGGAATAATGCGTGTATTCATAAAGCCGCCACCTTCAGATCAAATATGGTTTGGCTTCACATCTATGCCAGACCTTGATTTTCAATTTGAACCTTTTGTTGGAGACCATAGGATTGCAAGTGGACATATAGCCTTATTCCTAATCAGTCGGCTTAAGGTATAAGACCTCATTTTATTTTTGTATATAAATTATAATCTGCAATTAAGAGATTGAGATCTTGTATGAAAATTTTAAAAGCTCTGAGATAACATTGAAATGATATATAATTGGAAATTCTGAAATGGTTATTAAACTCCATAGCACTGTGTCAAAATAATTTTAAAAGCTCTGAGATAACATTGAAATGATATATAATTGGAAACTCTGAAATGATTATTAAACTCCATAGTGCTGTGCCAAAATAATGATGATTATCTATAGGAGAGAGCGTCTCAACAAACTTTTAGGCAGTACAGTTTAGGAAGTTATTGACTAGTCAGATGGCTAAAATGGCTAATAAACCAAGTGGTTTCTCATCTCATCCTAGACGACCTTGCTGGTAAGAGTTGTATTATTTTTCTGTTGCTTAACGTTTAAAATAAGATTATACTGGATGGATTGTTCTCTTTGAAGTTTCACTTTTGGCGAAATAATATAATGTTATCACTGATGTAGGCAGCTCTTCGTGAAACTTTGGTTATTCCAAATTGTGAAAGTGTATGCCTATCATGGATGTTAGCTGAAAAGGAGGACTGGATCCCGCGTAAATTTGCACCTTTCTTATGGACTAATCAAGAAGCACCGAGCACTGAGAACTGGGAAGTGATACGCTCAGATGAAGCTAATAAGGAAATTGGCAGCAGTTATTCAGAGAGTTGCGAAGGGCCAAAAAAGGTGGAATTATCATCTTTGAAAAAACCAAATGATTCACCGAACACACGCTCATCCTCACCTGTTGTTGATAAGCAAACAGTGAAGCATAGTAGTTCTGTGAAAGAATCCTCACCTGTTGTTGATAAGCCAACAGTGAAGCATAGTAGTTCTGTGAAAGAATCCTCACCTGTTGTTGATAAGCCAACAGTGAAGTATAGTAGTTCTATGAAAGAATTGCAGGTCCCGTTGTTGTTTCATTCTGAAGAACAGGCGGCAGTAAATCAACGGAAAAGCACAGATTCTGCAGAATATTACACGTTGAAATCTAGACAAGCTGAAGTGGCAGAGGAACAGAGCCGTATTTCTGAGGAGGATGATGGAAAACCTAGAAGACAGGGTACTAGAGCAAAGATGATTTCTTTGAGCAAGAAAATGTCAGAGAAGTTTGAAGAGAAAAAGCGAAATATTGAAGAGAAGGGAAGAAACATTGTTGAAAGAATGAAAGGACAACAATGAGTAGCCAAACAAGCAAGAAGTTAACATAGAAGCTAAGCCAAATTTGTTTGTACCATTTGTTATTGTAAATGGAGCAACAATGCCTGCCTGCCTGCATATCTGATTAATTGAGTGATGTTCCTTGCTGTAGATCAGTAGATGCTTCAGATTTAGGTAGGAAACAAAAGAAAACTGTGTAGAAAGAAAAATGTATAGACAGTAGTGGCACAGTGCCATATTGCTAAAACAATGACTTTCATGGAATAAATTTTACTATCTGTTTGGTACTCTCTTATTGTGCGTCGATTGTTTGTGTATAATACTGATTAAAGGGTTAAGGATCAAACAAAATACTTGAAGGGTAGTGTGTGTTGGTCAAATAAAAAGATAAAGATAATGGTACTCTCTTGCAATCTTGCTATAGTGTCATCGCAATGACAAGGACCGCAGCCCAATGAAAGCAGAGTTAGCAACTTTAAATGTATACACCCCTTATTGAGATTCTAAGCTCAACGGGTTAGCTACAATCTCTGGCAACTGGAATGAGTTTCCCATGTTGCCCACAAGTCACAAGTAACCAAACGGCAATCCGGAACTTTAAACCCACTACCGGATGCAATCACACATAAGTCCCCACACTGTCCACTTTACCAGCTCAATCATCTCATCACATCAATCCATCATCTCAAAAAGAGTCAATACACACGGAATCTAGAGATACACCAACACATAGATTCCACACAAAGTGTGTACAACAAGGGATAAGCCCAACAATAACTTAATCAAGGAATAATCATACACACATGATCACATCAAGGGATCCAAGCAAGGGGTTTCAATGAAGGACATGAAGCAATACTCAACAACAATGGACTACAATCCAACACCAACATGATTGGCAACACGAGTTGCCAATCATCAACGATAAGGAACAAACCATACATACTAGCATAACAACATCAAACTAGCATGCTCATCAAAACGGGTAAACCAAAATGGTCCCAACGAACCTTCAAGACTCATATTAGTCCAACGAATCACAAGGTTGGACCCTTAGCAGGATCCAAGACATCAAATCCTAACATGTACACTTAAGACATCGCTCTAGACATAAGTAACATCAAGGAGACACACAAAAGCTCAACAATCCAATCAAATGGAGGCCAAAGAATCACACACAATTGGGCGAATCGGTGGGCGTACAACCACCCACCCTTTCTCAAATATGTACCCCGCGGGTGGGGCTCCCACCCGCGGTTCCTCCTGTGGGGAACAGCTGGGCACAAAAATCAGCATTCCGCGGTTTTTCTTCTTTAAGGTTAAGTTCAAGTCCAAATGACCCCAAATCTTCCATATAACAAAGATATGACTTGAACCCATGAATAGCTCATACAATAGCATACAAGAACCCTAATAGGCCTATTCCTTTGTTTGGTAACCATTTCTATTACCATGAATAATATTTCTGGTAATAGCCTATTACCTCAAATAAGGTAATAGCTATTACTAGGGCCCCCCCTGGTATTAGCCTATTACTGAACGCTCAGGAATAGATTTTAGAATCTATTTTCTTTTTTACCCCTTTCTTTAACCTAATTTTTTTTATCATATATATAAATTTATCCTATTTCACCACCGTCGTCACCACCACCACCATCACCGCCGCCGCCACCACCATCACCGCCGCCGCCACCACCACCACCACCATTGCCGCCGCCGCCACCACCACCACCACCGCCACCAGAACCACCACCATCGCCACAACTGTCGCCGCCGCTACCACTGCCACCAACACCACCACCACTACCACCCTAGCATCACCACCGCCACCACCACCATCGCCGCCGCCGCCACCACCACCACCACCACCGCCACAACCGTCGCCGCCCCCACCACTACTGCCACAATCGTCACCGTCACCACCACCACCGTCGCCCCCACCACTGCCACCGCCACCCCCACCACTACCACCCCAGCTCCACCACCACCATCACCACCATCACCACCATCACCACCACCACCACCGCCACCACCACCACCACCACCACCATCACCACCATCACATATTTTTATAAGGGTATTTATGTCTTTTAAAACATATTTCATTTCTATTCCTTAAATCAACAAAACACTGTAATATAGTTCCTAAAGTCTATTCCTTCTGCGAACCAAACAATAGAATACAATTCCTATTCTATTCCTTGCCTATTCCATTCCTTATGGAATATCATTCCTATTACCTCAAAATTCATTCCGTGAACCAAACGTGCTGTAAATACAAGCTCTAAACATGCATTATCACAAGATCATGCATCAATCAGTCAAACACATCAAGAATATCACATAGAAGCCAATAATCATTCTTATCAAGTGAAAATAGATTTTGTGTAGCATGGGTTACCTCTTGTAGACCAAGAACACATTTTTCAACATCAAAGCAAGACCAAAGCTCCTGTAGATCAACCTAGCACTTCACCCACCACTAGATCTTCTACAAACTCCCAAAACCCACAAGGTAGAAGAAAGATTTAGAGAAAAGATGGAGGAATCTTATAAGGAAAAGGTAGAGAAGGATAGATCTTACCATTGCTAGCCTTGTAGTGTTGGAAAGTTGGAATCTTGGCTTGTGATTTCTTGAAGAACTTGTGAAGATCAACTCTAGGATTTCCTAGAGAGAAGGAGGAGTATGGGGCAAGAAAGAGATGTAGAGAGAAGGGAAAGCCTGAAAAATGATTTGGATTCCTTGGTTATGGTAGGGTTTTAATGTTAGCATTGTGTGAAATGACCAAAATGGCCCTTCCCCCCAAAACTAGTTAGGAGAAAGACAAAGTCTAGGGTACAAGGGCTAAAGCTCAAGGTACAATTCATTGACCAAATTAAAAGGATAAGGAATTTGGTCAACTAGGTCCTTCAACTAATTTCAAAGGGAAATTAGGATAAGAATTGTAAAGCCAGAATGAATTAATTAAGAAATTAATTCGGGTTTTAGGGAATGAATTTCCGCGGTGTTACAAACGGAGCGTGCGCTTTTTTGAATGTTAATTACCAACTGACATTACAGTGTATCTAAACCGACATTGCCTCATGTATTATTTTTATATTATCTAATGAAACTGCAATTATATCAAAATAATACTGTAGTTGTGGTGAAATGAAACTGCAGTGTATATAAAATGAAACTGAACAACATTTCACATATTTGAGTGTATATTGTACAATGAAGTTGTAATTATATCAAAATGATCATGTAGTTGTGTTTTAATAAAACTATAGTGTATATAAAATAAAATTAAATAACATTTTCACATATTTGAGTCTATAAATATCGAATTAAACTGTAGTTATATCGAAATGAAACTGTGTTGTGTTGAACTGAAACTGCAGTGTATACAAAATGAAACTGAATAACAGAGTTACATTTTGCGCAAGGGTGCGGAACGGCGCGAAACGGATGCCGTTTCTTTTCATTAAACAAAACGGCGTCGTTTTGATATGCGGTGCATAATCGATTATGCACCGTGGTGCACGATATAATTTGCCGTAGATTGATACATATTTAATAGTTGAGTCACACCATAGAGTGTCTCACAATATTAAAATCCGTGAGACGAGTCGAATCTAGAATAATTGCTTGTTACTTATGATAGAAATCATAATACTTATTACAGAAAATGTAATATCAATTTAAAATAAATAAACTATTATTTATAATAGATATTGTAATATTTATATATTTATATGTGATATTGTAATATTATTTAGAGTAAAAAATTGTTATTAAAGATAAATATGTAATATTTATAATTGAAATTGTGATACTTACAAAGTGTAATTATAATGTAAATATTAAGGGTGAGCAAAAACCGTCCAACCCGACAAATTTGACCGAACCGACGTCCGAAATAGTGCAACCCGCTCCGCTCCAAACCGACAAGCGAGAAAACCGGCCGATGGAACCTTCTATGCCGGTTTGTGAAATTCGGGTAGGGTATTGGATATTTGGACCCGATCGTCCGAATATTCGATAAAACGTAGGTTAGGTTATATGCATATGTAAACGACGTCGCACATGCTTAGTATATATTATTGCTTCTAGGGTTTCTGCACTCATTTGTTGAGCAATGCAGTCACAACTCCTTCTTAGTTCTCTCTAGACTTCTGTAGTTTTGTTCTAGTTCTCCACTTCTCTGACTTAGGGTTTGAGGGTTTCTCCATTCTCAAACCCTTTGTGGTGAATCTAGTCTTCTACTCTTTTCCTATGGTTTTTTGAGACAGTGAGAGCAAAGTTCTCTCGACTCTCGACTCTTGACAAACCGACCGATCTGTTGGTCCCGAAAAAGGTTAGGGTAAGATTCTAGAGTGGGGGGGGGGGGGGGGTGAATAGATTCTTATAGATTTTTGAAATACACTCGTGTACGATTCAAGGAATCGTTAGAGAGATGTACAACGGAAATAAGGATTCAGGTTTCTTTGCACGATTTTGTTTAGAAAAGCGATTGTCATAGGCAGTGAGATAAGATAATATGAATGCAATGCAGAGATAAAAAGTAAAATGAGAGAGAGAGAGATTTTTATAGTGGTTCGGCTATTAACTAAGCCTACTCCACTATACTTCACAACTCGTGAAGGTTTGCACTATCTCCTTAGTACAAAGTCACTCCAAGATTATTCCTTGACACTAAGCTGGACACAATCTTGAGCAAGGTTTTTCAACTACACTCAGTCTACTCCGCCTCTATATACTCTTCACGTAGAGAAAAAAAGTGTTGATGTATCTTTTCTTCCAACTGAAAACTTGACTGAAAGCTAGATGATGAATTTGGAGTTGCTCAAGTTTTCTTCAAATCTGGATATGAAATGTGAAGCCTTTTTCTCTTTCTCTCAATAGATCTTGATAATATCTTTTCAAGCAGATATGATATTGTGCCGTGCTTTCCTAGGCCGATGAGAGATGCCTTTTATAGAGGAAAATTTGTTCCATTGGAAGAGAGAACAAATTTTGGAACACTCTATGATCCAGTGGGTAAAGTCCTTGAGGTAACGAAGACATGTGAAATGTCAGTAATATAGCTGTTGGTTTGAGAGGTGTGAGGACAGGTGTTTTGTCTCACGTCTCTTCATAAGGCTTTTCACCACTTAGGAATTTGTTCCTCGGACTCCTTTTTCATTTGAGAGTGGGGATCTGTGCAAATAGTGTTAGACTGTTCAAAAGATGAGAGCATGAGCAGTCTACACGAATCCTTATGGAGGATTCGGGTGAGCATGTGACTAGTTGTCATTACTTAGTCACTTCTGATGCTAAATGATATCTCTTTAATCATTTAGCTCTTGATATCATCAAAAGGTGGATCCTTCCACTATTCAATCACTTGCAACCTTTTGGTATTTGCTTGATCTTCTTGCATGTCTTCAAAAGTCTTCATTTGTCATATTATTGTCTCCAAAAGAGAGCTAGTTTCTATTGATTAAAGCATTCTGCTACTTTCTAGACTTTGAGTTCACAGCATAAGTGACTCGGGTCATAGACAAATAAACTTTGAATCTATGGAGGGCTTAATTTGGTATCATCAAAATCTTATTACAAAATGTTCCTAACACGATCCGTTGTCATGTTCTCTGTTCTCTCCGGTTGGAATTTGTGGCCTGTGCCTCTGTGGAGTGGTGGAAGCCATAGCCAGCGACTCAGTGAGTGTTCCGTGTTCGACTGTGGTAGAAGACCCTAGTTCATTGGGTAATACTTTGAGAAACCAAGTAAAACACAAACTCTAACTGTTTTGATTTTTAATTTGTGAAGCCGTGAATGTGCGATAATTTGTGATTTTGTGAAGGTGTGATTTACAATGTGCAAATATGCAATATTATTGTATGTGTTATTTCACTTATTTGTGTATTTCACTATATGTTGCAATTGTTGGTGAAAAATGAAATATTATTGATGTTTGTATACTGTTTTTGTGAAAGCCCTAAGCACCTAATTTATGAAATAGTATTGATGTTTCTTATACTGTTTTTGTGGAAGCCCTCAAGCCCCAATTTATGAAATATGTCATATTGAAATATTTCTGTTCCTTGTTGGTGAAATTGTGAAAATGTGAAAATGGTGGAAGCATGAAATTTGTAAGTCCCAATGTCCCATTGGTTAATGGGTCAAATCTAGTAAAATGATGAACTGTACAGGTTGACAGTTTCCTGATTCTGCATTTCTATGAGTTATTATTGTCTGTGATACTGTGATTGTATCACTGTATGTTTATTTGTATAAGTTTATGGATGTATGACCCTAAATCCTCAATTTTGAAATTTAGAAAAATGATGAATTTTGAAGTGCCTGTCTTCTTGATTTTGAAGTTCTGTATGAATGTGTGATGTGTGACTATATGATATTCTGCATTATGTTTCCCACTTAACACTTTACTGCTAGTATTCCATTTATTTAGTTGAAAACTATCAGAGAGTTTGGTAGTCAACCTTCCAACTCTTCAATATATGGACCTTCGGTGGTGGAAGCCCAAACTATTGACACAAATAATCAACAGAATGTGCAACCTACTGCTACAGTTCCTCCTGAGAAGAAAATGAAGATAGTTGATTCCATATCAAAAGTGGGGGATCATTATGAAAGAATTTCTGATAGTAATGGTATTACTGTCAAAGCCAAGTGTATGTATTGTGCCAAAATTTATCAATGTGAATCCAAAAGACATGGTACTTCATCCATGAGAAACCACATGATTAGTTTTCTGAAAATCCCTCACTCTAAAGACACTAGGCAGTCATTGCTAACCTTTCAAGCTGTTACAAATTCTGATGCATCTCCTACTACTGTTGGTGAGTTAGGAACTTGGGTCTTTACCCAAGAAGCTATTAGGAAGGCCTTGGTTGAAATGATTATAATAGATGAACTACCTTTTAGATTTGTGGAGGGTCTAGGGTTTAGGAAGTTCATTCTGGTGGCTTGTCCTAGGTTTAAGATTCCATCTAGATGGACAATTAGTAGAGACATCAATCTGATTTATGAAGAGGAAATGATGAAGTTGAAATGTTTTTTTTAGGCGAAACACTCAAGGAGTCAGTATTACAACTGACTCTTGGACTTTTATTCAGAGAATTAACAACATGGTAGTGACTTCCCATTTCATAGATGAAGAGGGGAAGCTTCATAAGAAGAGTATCTCATTTGTCCCTGTTACATCACATAAGGGTGAGTCTGTTGCAAAAGTCCTAGAAACCTGTTTGCTTGATTGGGGGATTAGGAATGTGTACACTATAACAGTAGACAACGCTTCATCAAATGACACTGCCATAGGTTTTTTTAAAAAGAAATTGATGTTGGGGAACATCTACTGAGAAGGGCATGTATATTCACATGAGATTTATTGCCCATATTCTAAACTTAGTTGTGCAAGATGGGCTGAAACAATGTGATGCTTCTGTGAAAAAGGTTAGGGAGGCTATAATTTATGGTAGGAGTTCACCTGCTAGACTTAAGAAATTTAGGGACTTGGCTGAGTGGAATGGGATTGAACAGAAATCTTCTTTGTGTCTAGATGTTCTAACCAGATGGAACTCTACATATCTTATGTTACAATCTGCAATTACATATGAGAAAGTGTTTGAGTCACTTGAAGAAAGTGATAGTTCCTTCAAAGCAGATTTGGGTGATTCTGTTCCTGATTTTCTTGATTGGGAGTTTGTGAAGAGTTTGGTGGAGCTCTTGAAATGTTTTTATGATATGACATAAGAATTTCAAGTTCTTTATATGTCACATTTAACATTTTCTTTTATGAAATTTCTGATTTATATTGCATCTTGAATGGCAGGGTGGAAGCTGGTGGGTCTGTAAACAAGGTAACACTGCCTAACATTCTTGCATGTTCTATTTACTTAGCTTAATTCCATATAATGTTTACATTCTACTCTATTGTTTTTGTTGCAGAAATTGGTGCTGATGGTGGCAGTGGAACTGAAAGGAGTGCTGGTTCTACACTTCATACGATTCCTGTAATGCTATGCTTTATACTTTATACTCTTGTTTGAATGTATTATGTATAATCTATTATACATTTATACTGTATTACTGTTATTCATGAGGCTTGCTGGCAGCTGGCATCTGGCTTTGTAACTAATTTAATTAGTTGTTGCCTAGTTGTCATATTCTCCTATTGAGGCTTGGTAACTTGTTACTTGTTAGTTGTTGCCATTGTTGGTAAGTTGGCACATTTTAATGTATTATTATTATGGCGATGATGAAAGCTTCCACCAATGATCTGAAAAATAAGGGATTAAGATGGTATGTTGCTTAATCCACATGGGGATGTTGTAGCAATTTGCCCTTAATCCTAACTTTGATATGGACAAAAAGCTTATTAAGCCAAGTTTATAATTGTCTAATCATACAATATATAATTATTTTCTATTGCTCAAGAATCAAGTTGTTATTGTTAATTTTGCTTAAGTTTTGAGTGTTGACAGGAAGAAGAAGAACAGTAGGAACTAGTCATCTAGGAACTGAACTAGGAAATTAGTTGAATACTTGGATGATGATCATTGGATGACTTATCACTTTTTGAAGATGTGGTTTGTGAATGACACTCTTATGACACAAGGAGTTTAATTTGTTCCTCTTGTTGGGAGGTTGAAACAACAACTTTCTTTCCAAATATAATACTTTTTAGGGAAAATGTAATACTTTTTTTTTTGAAAGTAGGGAAAATGTAATACAATTGTTAAAAAATATAATACTTTTACATCAAAATGAAAAAGTATTACATTTTTTCTCAAAAATATTATATTTTCTCCTATAAGTAACAAATATTTTATTCCTGATTAGTATTACATTTGAACACATAAGTATGACCCAACCCGATCCGACCAGTCTCAAGAATAAGGATCCGTGAGACAATCTCACACAAGTGTGACCCTTTATAATATAATTTTTGGTGGTATTTTTTAGTGTTAGTATATGACTAAAATACTTAGAAATTATGTCAAAAGTAATGTTGAAGACAAACTGTTAAATATGAAAACTATTAGATAATGTTTACTAATTATGTAAAGAAAAATGAGTTGATTTAATCAATGGTATAATGGATTAATTATTTTAGCTTATAATATTCATATAATCATTCTAATAAAAATAGCTTAATTATATTTTGAGTTCAATGGTTAGCATTTGTCAAGACAAAATTATGAACAACCACGGTCCCTGGAAGTCAGATTTAGCATCGAATCTTTGGCCTGCGAGACAGCTAACGTCATCGACGAGTGGACTGCCCATTAGTTGAATGGCGGGCAACTTGGCCTAGCCCGATAACCGACTACTGACTTAAACACTCAAGTCGAGTAGCGACGACTATGGACCAAATAGCAGCACTTTGGTGGGCTTGCAAGAAGCCTGGGGAGGTAAGAATATTTCTAAATTGGAAAAATAGTAATGTATATTTTTGGTTGGGCTTTCAGACAAATCATGTTATAAAAAAAATAATGGATGCAGTAGTGGACCTGCATACAATATAAGTGGTCCCGATGTTAGTTGGAAGATCCGCAGTCTATACAAGAGATGCGACAGTAAACAATACATCCAAATGGGCTCGCAAGCTGGGTAGGTAGACTGTGGTAGTAATAAAACAATTTTCAGCTTCATTTTGTACCAATACCTCTGTGCTCGGAAAGCACGACAAGCAGCCTAGGGAAAATTTTGACTAGATTCGCAAGTAACCCGAGAAGGTAATAAAAAAACACTTTTTTTTAAAAAAAAATTATTTTCTTACTACTCTTCACCCCCTTTCATTTTTTGTGTTGGGCTTGCAACGCTGGGTAGGCGAACCAATAGAAAAAAAAAAAAAGAAGGGAGAAAAAAAAAGTGGGCTCACTCCCACATCTCGTACGGGGATCGCAAGGTAGGCAGACCGTATACAGCTTCACCCTAGGCAATTGGACGCAATCCACAACCCGGTATGCAGATTTTCACCGAGGCTTGCAGGGCAAGGAATGCAGCCTAGCTTGCAAAAAAAAAAAAAAAAAAAAAAAAACAAAGTGGGTTTGCTCCCACATCTTATACGGGATCGCAAGGTAGGCGGACCGTACGGATCTTCACCCGGGCCAGTATGACATGACCTTCTACCGGCCTGCAGATTTTCACCTGGCCTTTGTATGCAGCCCATCGTGTAATAAAAAAAATTTCACTCCCGTTTCTCCTCTTCTTAGTGGTATTATCTCGATTCTCAACGGTCGACATATTCTTGTCCAGCTTCTTGGTCAACGGTATCCTTATCCGGCTTCTTAGCTATCCTACTTCTTAGTGGTCGAAATTTTATTATCTCGATTCCCAACGACTTATTCTTGTCCAGCTTCTTGGTCAACGGTATCCTTATCCGGCTTCTTAGCTATCCTACTTCTTAGTGGTCTAAATTTTATTATCCCGATTCTCAACGGTCGACTTATTCTTGTCCAGCTTCTTAAAAGTCAAAACATTATTATACTTATTCTTATCCCGCTTCTCAGTTTGCTTTATATAGCCAACAAGATGCAAACCTATGACTTATAGGTAAACAACACAAGCACTAACCATCCAAGCCACTCAAGATCTTGTATATTAAAGGATAGGAAGCCACACTTATGCATTAGAAGTTCCACTCAAGATCTTGTGTATTTTTGTCCACTTTGGGTTACATGTAAATGTAATAAATATGTTTGGATACCATATCAACATACATATGGCTATTGCATCTTGATAGTTTTGAATCATATACCTTGCACCGCTAGTAAAACTTGATGGTAGGATTATCCTTTTTCCTTGCGTGCTCGATTCAACTTCTTCTCGCGACAACGGATCTGACAAGCCTTTGTATACTTTACATCTCAACGCTTTTTGATTGTTGCATATATAAACCAGTCTACCAAACTCAACCATTGTATACACATCAACTAAGAACTGATGGAATAACCTCTTTGCATACACCAAAGTCGAAGTATCACTTAGCCTCTCATGAATACAGATTTCAAAAAACTCTCTTTGAGAAATATGATGCATTGCACAATTCTGAAAGTTAACACTACTTGCAAATTGGGTATCTTCCCTATATCCATCTTCACCATGGAAAGAACAGCGGGTACTACATTGGTAAATATGACGGGTTCAACTCACTTATCCTCTACAGCTTACCAGTCTTGGACTCCACCAGAATGTCACGTTGACCCATTGTGGGTTCTAAGTCATTAACTATAAGAGTTGCAACTTCTGATGTTGTTGGTAAGCTATAAGTTCTTGCATCGTTAGTCGTTTTACCAATTAACCTCATTTTAATCTCAACTCATGGATTATTCTTGATTTGTGCCTTAGCCATACTAAATGATTTAACGAGAACATTGTTCACATCTAACACTTTATTAATGTCCTCAACAACCTCGACATGTAACTTCATTCGATCACCATCTTTTCTACAACTGGTTATTAGAGTAAAAATTAGGAGAAATGAAAGTTAAATAAAAAAACAATTTATTTTATGATATACAATTTTTTTATAAGGTATATATATACCTGACAGAACTAATCTGATTATGAGTTTCATGTTCGGTGTCGCGAATGTATAGTTGTGCAAATTTTGAAAGGTTTACCACCATGAGGTTGTCCTATGGAGAGTATATTTCCACAATCATACCCCTAACCTTTAATTATAAAACAATAATTGTATGTATACAATTCCAATATAAGTTAGTTCGAATTTATTATATAATTATTGCTCTCTATATATAATTAAGCTATTTTATTATAATAATAATAATTATATTAATATTATTATCAGCTAAAATAATTAATACACCATTAATTAAATCAACTCATTTTTCTTTACTTAATTTGTAAACATGCTCTTATTTTTTTTCATATTTGACATTTTGTCTTCAATAATATTACTTTGATATAATTTAAAATTATTTTAAGTCATATACTAACACTAAAAAATACGACAAAAAATATATTATAAATAAATTCAATTAAATATTGTTAATTAAATTAGGCAAACAAAATGATACAAAAAATTAGATAGATAGAGATATTTATTTACAGAAATATATCGCTAGCTAAATTAATTTAGTAGTTGTAAAGCATTATAAATATTTGAGCTAAACCATCATGTCGTTGTAGTATAGTGGTGAGTATTCTTGCCTGTCACGCAAGTGACTTAGGTTTAATCCCCGATAACGGCAGTTTTGCTTCTGAGGACCCGGGTTCGATCCCCGGTAACGGCAGTTTTACTTCTGAGGAGAGGAGCACGTATTATGAAGACCCGGGTTCGATCCCTGGTAACGGCGGTTTTACTTCTCAGGAGAGGAGCACGTAGCCTTTTTGTTTTTCGAGAAACTGTCATTAATTCCATTTCGAGCTATAATTCATTCTAAAACACTTATGGCTGCTGGGATTCGAACCCAGGTCTCCATGGCCACAATGTGGAATTCTTACCACTAAACTACAGCCACTTTATCATTTACTTTTCTTGCATAATTTATATATTTTCTATAAAAAGGAATAAAAATTTGCTCCTAGGTCAAGCTCTCCTCCGATCCTTTTTCTTGGTGACAAGTCTTTATTTGTTCTAGCAAGCTCAATATTCCTGTTGCAAGCTATTATATTTTTGCTTTGATCTTATTATGATGGTGCTGAGCTCTGTTTTCATAAAAAGTGCATTTACTTCTCTAATCCTATATGAAGAGAAAATAGCAAGTTCAAAACTCAGAAGTATGAGGGGGTGAGAAAAAGTAGACTTTGGAAGACTATTGGTACACGTTAGTGATAAAAAAAATTGATCAATTTCATAGGTCTAAGCCTCTGATTTTAACACTAAATGTAGACACTTTCACTAATGATTCAAACAAAAAGATGGGTTTTGGTTGTCAATTGAAATTCTAATAGGTATTTAGGACTTTTATCCATAAAGAAGCAGAAGCTACTTGTGTTTGTCAAGCTTTAAGTTGGATCAAAAAATTCCGTAAAGCTTTAAGTTTGATAGAAAAATTCTATTATGAATTCATCCAAGTTTAAATGGGTACGTGATTTCCAAGTCTATCAAGGAATTCAAGTTGCATCTTTTGGTTATGTTTTTGGTTTAATTGTTGATGACATTAAAAATTTTTCTAGCGACTTTTTTGATTTATGTTTCAAAATTTTTAAATGATTTGTGAATTGTGTCACCCAATTACTATCTAAGAAGTTCGATCGTTTTCATGTTAGATTTTTTGAAATACTTTTTCACCCTCCTTTTGTTGATGATATTTTGCTTTTGGATTTTATGAATTAATGTTAAATGGTTTTGTCAACCAAACAAAAAAAGGTAATTATCTAATTATCTATCGGCTAGACATTCGAAAATATAAGGGGGTGTATTCAATCATGACTTTTGTAGAGTTTTAAAGTCTTTTAAAATGATAGATTTTAATAAACTTTGATTGACTTTCATAGAGTCGTTCAAAACTTTAAAAATTTTATAAGACTC